GAGATAATCAAGTTGCTCAAATTACTCTCAAGAGTTGAGTTATTACTTAACCGACTTCCGAGAGTAATTTGAGCAACTCGATTAGCTCTCGGGAGTGAGCTAACTCTGATGACTTAGCTCTCGGGAGTGAGCTAATTCTGATGACTTCCATAAATCAAAGATGGTTTCTTGCTGTAAAATCTGGCCTGAAACCTGTAGTCTCTCAGTCATATGTAACACTTCACCAGACTATGATCTCACAGTAGGTATGGGTGATTTATTGTTATTAGATATCACAATTACAGGCTTACCTACTAGCATTGAACCACAGAAGGATTTGTCGGACGACAATTTGTTGAAACCGGTATATAAACCTATTGATCACAGTAAACCAGGAATGTTTACCAAGCATAAAATTACGGTCAAACACCGGAGGCTCAACAAGGTCTATCCCAGCATCGACCAAGGAGAGAATCTAAAACTCAGAGAGGGACACATAAATATTACAGATGGAAATTAATCTCGGAGCCGAAGTGCCGGGAGTACGGAAACATCATTATAGAAAATATCTGATGGGCATAAGGGCATCCCTAAATATTGGAGGAGTACAATCTAAACGTATATGGTCAAAGATTACAATAGAAGCCACAATATGTTGAAGACGGGCGGCGACGCTGCCGTTGGATTGGATCATAGATTAAGTGAGAACCTTTTTCACCTTAAGAGGTGTTTTTTTAATGGCTCAAGGATTACGAGTCCAATGCATATAAAAGCAGGGACTCGAATCAAATAAATCAAAACTATCCACTTAAAACTTTAAGATACTTTAATATCTGAGAACAATAAAACCTTCGAAGACTGTGAAGGAGATGATCCCTCACTTTACAGAGAAACTCAAGGACTTGATTTTCGATAATGACAAGATTCGGATCACGGACTGGGCTAAGTTCAAATTCAAAAATGGATACGTTAGTCTAGACCTGACGAGGGTAGATTTCTCGAAGCTGTAGTGTCCTACACGTAACTATGTTGCATGGTGTCATGAGCAGGTCGTACGAGAACAGGTTAGTGATCGCAGTCAACTATGAGCCGACTCCCGTCAACCTAGCGCTTTTAGCCGTCGACCAATTCAACTCTGACGGGACACAGAAGAAAGTTCGGGTGTGTTTGGATATGAGCCCAATTAACGGGGATATGCTGCATCGATGAAGCCGTACATTTGTTTAGATTGGTATCGAAATCGATCTTTGATGAACTGGACAAGTGTCCAAGGGTGGGAGGACCGGATGGTGATAGCCAGTGATAATCGGAGAGGCTTACAGAGTGTGGCGACAATCACTGCTTTACACTGGTTATATTCGCCAGTTTCTTTGAGGCATTGAACATAGTCTCCAATTTCAACTGTATTCTTCTGGGCTGGCGTCCATTCTGTGCGTGGTGTTTTGATGACCTGGTCATAAGGTTTGTGAGGGTCGTCAAGTATAACACGCTCGACGTATTGTTGGGTAGGGTTCAGATCTTTGGAATAGACTTGGGCGGCTGCCATGTCAAGATGTAGTAAAAGT